CACCCGTCACAATTCGATGCAAAAATGATTTCCTTTCGTAGCGTTGAAGCAGCATTTCACAAGTGACTTTGCGATTTTCCATTTGACGTTCATTCAAATTGTGTGGGACTCATTTACCGAGTTTATATTGATCTTTCCCATTGCTCGTAAACGTCTGCTGATTGTTTCTTGTGATACATGTAATGCTTCTGCTAATTGCCGTTGAGTTTGAGTTGGGTCTTCATCCAATAACTCCTGCAATTGCTCGTCTTCGCATTTTTGTGGTCTACCAGAGCGCTCACTGTCTTTCACATTAAAATCACCATTTTTAAATTGTCGAAACCATGTCTCACATGTTCTAATCGATGGAGCGTGTTCACCATATGTTTCTACCAGCAAACGATGACTTTCAACAGCCTTTTTCTTTTGATTAAATAAAAAAAGCAATGCGTGCCGCAAATGTTCTTTTTCAGGCACAAAACTCGACATGATCACTGAACGATAAAACAAAGACGCTAGTTTTTGGCGGACTCAACTTGTGTGTGTTTGTAGTTAAATGTCAGACGAACAAAATGGCGTATGTATCAAATTAATACGCTGCGTACTTTTCGCTGGCGCCATCTCTTAGTTAAACCGGAAAAGACTTATGCATACACCTGGTAGTTACATTTTATCGATAACTATTAACTTTTTATTTAAAGTTTTTGAAGTTAAATCTCAGACTCAAACATATACTTCATTTAGAACATACTCTATATTTTACTTAAAAGTTTTGTTTGTATATATTATTTACATTATATATTGATTTCAATCTAGCAAAAACCATATATTTTAATGTATCCAGTTTTTGATAGGTTGAAATCTATATATATATATTTACATATACATATATAGACAGTATATATAAACAAAAAGTTTAAATAAAATATAGAGTATATTTTAAATAAAGTATATGTTTGTCATTTCCGTTATTTGTAAGACTCTGAAATCATAAAATAGAAAGAAATTTAACTTTTAATTTTTCAATTACTTTTTTTTATTAACTTAACTTTTAATTCAATTAATTTCATTATACATTAACTTGTATCTTAACTAAGTTAAATTTTCAAGGTTGTTAACTTTAACTTAACTTAGTTAAAAGAAAAAATTAACTTACCAACCCTGATATTTGAAATGTTAAGAATCGAATAAATTTATGTTTAATATATAAAGTATAGCATATTAAAAATATATTTGGAGATTAAAACATCTTTTACCACTCAGTTTATTAACAATAGTAAAAAATATAACCAAAGATGTGATACTTCTGCCATTGAAACTGTTTGATGGAGAAAATGTGGCAACGTTGTTTCATCGCGAATTAAGAATATTCTATCAGTTGAGTAATGCCGTCAAAGTCTCACTACAAATGTTTCTAAGCATTTGATTTACAGAAAAAAAATTGTATTAAATGATTTGTCAAAGAACGCTTCAAAACATTTATAGCGTCACGTTAACCTATCCACCTGTCAAGCCGTGTATTCACCTAGCGAACGAACACCGAACGCGAATGTTCGGATATTATAGTGTTTATATTTGTGAGCAGTTTATTCTTTTTTTCGATTGTACGGAATACTGGTATTCGACCAGATTCGATGTTCGTTCCATGTAGTAATTAAATTTGTGCGACTTTTATGTAACAAACAACAATACAAATTTTTACGTTTGTTGTTCGTTCGGTGTTCGTTCGTTAGGTGAATACATGGCTTCAGATATTGCAGTCAGAGTTCAGACATTGCAGTTTGCAGTGTTACCAACTTCGATTTTTCAGTTTTACATCGTTGCCAAATCATTTCTTGAGCTAAAAATATTTATTATTCTAAAAAATATATGTTTATCTTTGAAACTTTTGCACAAATAAACACTAATATTTTTTGCATTTTAATTGCATTATAATCCATATTTCTTTAAATTTTAGCTATTTATTTCTTCAAATTTTAATGTTCAAATGTTGGCTACACTCCATATTTCTTTTGTATTAAAGCATTTCCCTCTCACTGTCCGCCTCAGCCTTACAACCTCCTTAAGGGGATTTTAATCACTCTCAGTAAGCAAGAAACATTTTGGAACATTTCAACAATATTGTAGCAACGTTATAACATTGTTATAAGGTTATTAAAATGTTTCAAAGTGTTTTTTTCTTATTGGGCTTATATTATTGATTAACAATAATTATAATAAATAAATTATAATAAATAATCATATAACTTTTGTATAACAATTATTTTTTTCTCTTTTAAAGATTCGAAAAATTTTTTCCAAGATTAGAGTATATACGTGTCTGTGAGGTGAAGTTATTCCGAGAATGTAAAAAAATTTCAAAACTGAGATTTTCTTTACCATTTCTTTACCATTTCTTAGTCCAATATGCATTGTTAAATCTATAGTGTCAAATTTAACTTAATTGTAGACGAAAGTTTGGTGAATTCTATTTAATAAATCCGTTAATAAATATCTTCTATTTAATAAACTATTTAATAACTAGTGTACTTACTAGAAATTCTGTTTCGAATACTTGCAAGATAACAAAATGGTTGTAATGGAGACCCAGAGTTTTATGGCATTGAACGAAGATACCATGACCAATAAAAATGTTTCTCGTATCTTCGTTCAATGTAATAAAAATATATTCATTTGACGCGTTTTCACTCAAAATGGAAGAAAAATGCGATTAGAAAAATAAAAACTTTGGGTCTCTATTCCTCTTGTTTTCTTGAAAGTGATTCAAACCGAATTTGTCTACTGTCTGCAAATTATGTGGAATACGTATAATATAAAATTAATACGTATAATACATATAAGTACACAAAACAAAAGTAATTTTTTTTGCAGTTCATGAATTTTAATATTAAATGCAATACTGAAGCGCCGGAACTTAATAGGGCAAAATTGCGTGTCTAATAAATTATTTGGAGACATTCGCGATCTTGCTATTCCCCCTTCTCCTCCTCCCCCCGTATGACATAAAAAAAATTTGGAAAAATATTTTACTGTAATAGAAAAAATAATAGAGAAAGTAATAGAAAAATATTTTGCTGTAATATTTCTGTTCACGAGGCTAATCGCATTTTTCTTCCATTTTGAGTGAAAACGCGTCAAATGAATATATTTTTATTAAGATTCTAGAGTAGGACTCGTATTTTAAATAGTTACTATATTAAATAATATTAATGTTAAGTACATGTTGTGTTGTCCAAAAATTAAAAAATTATAAAATTAAAGACCACACAATATGTGTGATCTTTGCATTGATATTTAATTGTCTGATATAGTTAAGCACTTCAAGATGTGGTTTACGTCACCAAATGTGAAACGGGGTTAAGTAATATATCTAAATTAAATGTACACACAATACAGTCTAATTATAAAATTAAAAATCCATAAAATTGAAAACAAAACTAGGGCTACGAGCTAAGCTAGATCTTAATGCTGGATTAACTACAAAAACTTATTGTTGCTAATTGAGGAATTTAAACTTTTTACACTGCTACAAGACATATTTGGTGAACTATCATTAAAATGATTATGTGTATTAATAGAAATATTTTCTAAAACATCATCAGAAATCTCATTAAAATCAATATCATCGTTGTCATTATTATTAGTTTCAGTATTGATATTATTAGTATCATCGTTATTGTCAATGTTATTATTAATATTTGTAGTATTCTGCAGTTGTGAAAGTTCTAATAAAATAGCTGTATTGTGACGTAACTTTCTATAAAATGTTGTTTTTGAATGTTCCATATTTTTATACAATATAGTAATTAATAAAAGATAAATAATGTTAAATAAATAATGAATATACGATATACAACACTACTATACATACAACTATTATACATATGCATATAATATTCGATTACTACATGTTTTCGAAGACAATATATTATTAGATATGCAACTATATACTGATTTGGGATAACGAAAGTACAAACTACAAATATTTAGTTAATTATGTGCAAGATATTAAGATTCGAGAAAAAGTGTAAAACAAACCTATAAAACACACAGTACATGGAATAGAGAATCAACATAGAAAATTCTGTTAGATAGACTTCTTCCACATAGAAAATTCTTCTTCGTGTCCTCTGGATTTATGTTTTACTTCAGTGGATTAAATTATCATGATTTCTTGGACGAATGTGAAATTATAACTGTCTCCTTGAGGACAAAGATGGCGGAAAACATACAAGATCGAGACGCGTGGTCACGTAACTGGTCACATGACTATGAGGAAGAATTTACTCTGATTAATCACAGATCGCAGCACAGGCGTACAGTGTCCTCTGCTGAAAAGAATATTCCTAGAACATTCAAAATGTTCAATTAAATTTTGAATGTTTTAGGAATATTTTATAAATATTCAATATGAATATTCTCGGAAAAGAATATTGATACGGACATGGAATATTCATAGAATTTTGTGTGCTATCTGGGTAAGTTTATTAAAACAAACGTTTCAACCCTAATTGGGTCATTTCCAATGTTATGCTAAATACAATAAAAAATTAACTGTTCATTTGAACTGCAATAACATGACAGTCCGTATAACAAGATTATGGCAATAATTAAAATACAATTGAATAAGACTCACAATTATAACCGGAGTAAGATATCCACTATGAAGATTTTTATACTGTATTTTAATTGTATTTTTTGAGATCAAAATGTCCTAATTTTTCTTAAAATGAGATTACTTTAATTAACATTTAAGTCGGTTGTTCTATCTTTTGGTAAATTTTACCTGTTGGGTAAGTAGCAAGATTGCCCAATCACATGCGCGAATTACCAGATTTACCTCACAGGTAAAATTCACTAAAAGGTGGAACAACCGGCCCTTACAAATATAGATTATTAGATAAATTTAATTTTATATTCACATGTAAGTTACTTATACATACATAATAAGAGTCATATCATAAGACGTTTTTGTCAAAATCTTGCGAGAGAGAAGAGTATAGGTTTGCATTATTTCTTCTTTAATCTTTATCTAACTTTCTTTAACTTCTGAAACGATTGCTCATGCATGCTTATGACTACATATAGACTAGATATTTGTTACAAAAAATATATGTAAAAATTTAGAAAATGGGTGGATGTGTAGTACTATTCTATAACAATTCTTCATCTAAGGCTCATTTCATATTTATGTTACTAAAATATAACGTTTATGATATCTAAAATTAGTATGATTTAAATATAAACGGGAATTGACAAAACTTAGCGAGAGTCAATAAAAACTGGTTACCGTATGGTGTGACTCTTATTATAGATCTCTCATCATAAAATCATTGAACTTTTTCTAAATTAATTCTCTAATGTTTTTCTTTATTAATTCTCTAATGTTTGACTTTATAGAAAAGAATATTAAAAGAGATAGACAATTTTTTATTAAAAAAAAATCAATACATTAAAGTTGAAAAGTAACTAAATTAAGTTAAAAATTAATGCATTTAAAATTAACTAAGTTAAGTTAAAAGTTATTAATTTTTTATCTTTTTTTTAACTTTTAATATTTTAACTAGATACTATCTGTCATCGATTCGATGTCGATTCCATTATCATTTCTGACTGGGCAGTAGGAGAATTTCTCTAATTTTACACAGATATCCATACATAATAATGAAATAATCTATAAAATTTGTATATGTTTTTAGTATTACCACCGACGAGATATAATAGTATCTCGTTGATGATATTATTTTTAAATATAATTCATCTTTAAACATCTTTCCCAATTCGAGTTCAGCCGCGTAGCGCGGTGGTTACGTCGCGCTACAAGTCAAGCGAACGTCTGCTCGAAAAGTCTACCTTTTATCCCTGATGTTCTTCTTCACTTCGATGGGTCCAGGTCAGTATTTACTCAGAATAGACTGAAAATATACATACATTTTTTTTATGCGATTGCGTCAGATAGGAAGAAGGTCCAGTGAAGCGGGTGAAGATTTGAAGTATCGGAGTACAGTGGTCAGTATGACGCTTGCGGTGCCAACGAGTTAGGGGAACGAGCGCCACATTGCTCGACGTTGGCCTGGTTGGCCGCCGCGTGTGTGGTGTGTACCTATACACGCATGACGTTTCCACGACGGTGAAACGTCGTGGCCCGGTTTCTTGCGGTGGAGCCGCTCGTCCCTCCGCCGTCTGTCTGTTGTGCCGCGTTCGCCACTCAGTGAACATACACTCCTGACGGCCAAGATGGTGACGATGAAGGGACGCAAGAGCTCGAGCAAGAACCCGCCGATCCTCAGCCACGAGTTCGTCATACAAAATCATGCGGACATCTTCTCCTGTGTGGCCATGGTCTTCGTGATTGGACTCATGGTGCAGGTCGGTGGCGGCTATCCCGGAGTTTGTTCTCCGGCTCCATTTAGAATTTACGTTTCGATTTACATTCTTTTGGCGAAACGGGAGAGTCGCTTTTGTGAGAATTCCTCACAAAGCTTTCGCTCTTGATTGTGGTCTGTGGAAATTCGGAGGATACCTGAAAAGTAGGATGACCATATGTTACGAGTTGTTCCTGTCAAAACAAATTTGACTCGTCACACATACGCATACATTTTTATTTATTGTATTTGAGAGTATTTCTTTTTCAATTTTGAATTTTCATTACATTTTTATGAACATTTTAATTGTGATAAATATCTTATTAGTTTAAACACGTTATCTTCAATATTATATTTATAAATTTAATACTGTTATAATTGCTGTTATAATTGCTAATGCTGTTATAATTGCCTTTTTATATTGATTTTGGAAAAAAAGAAAAATATTTATTAAAATGTTAAAATTTATTTCAAAATATTTAATTAATCTAATTATATTGTTAGAGTGTACATTGTGGATTTTTTGAGGCTACTTATTTATGTAGTCTATTAAATTAAAATTGAATTAAATTCAAAATTATTTTCTGTATCAGGTTACGTCGCCATGGGCCTATATGTTTATTGCTATTCATCATAATGTGACCAATACTACCGAGGATCCGACAGCAGTGGTGAAGTATGCTACAGGATGGAAAGATGCATGTGCAGTGTTCTTTTATTTCTTGATAACTATCATAATGCATGCTGTGCTTCAGGAATATATATTTGATGTAAGTATACCTCTCTGATGACAAAATATTGTCTAGCTATATGAATATATTTAAACTCTTTCATTGATAAAATCACTTTTGTCCACAGAAAATTTCCAAGCGACTTCATCTCAGCAAAGTTAAGCTTTCTAAATTTAACGAGTCCAGCCAATTAATAGTATTTTATGTATTATCTGCATTGTGGGCCATTGATATTATAATCAGGTGATACAGATTTTAATAAATAATACTAAAAAGAGATATGAGAGAAAGTATCAGTAAAATAACGTTTCTTTTTCTTTTAGAGAGAATATTCTTTTGAACATATGGACGTTGTGGGAAGAATATCCAGTGCCGATGTCCGCCTCCCTAAAACTATTTTTCATCGCTCAGCTTTCTTATTGGTTGCATTGCTATCCCGAGCTCTATTTTCAACGAACTAAAAAAGAAGACATTTTGCAACGTGTTGTCCATGCAACTATTGGATTAATCTTTACATTTGCAGCTTATTTCTTCAAGTAATATTATAATATTATAATATATAGACCTACTTTATTTTATATTTTCGCAGAATTTGTATTAAAATATATATATTTGTTATTCTCTTAGCTTCCAGCATCTCGCTCTGATCTTATTAACTCTCCATTATGTGGGAGATGCTTTGCTACATGCAGCCAGACTGGTTCACTTTATTAGTCAAAAAGAAAAGAGAACTAAATGTAAGTTGCTTTTATTGAATTACTTGTCATTACTATACATAGTAATTAATATATTTGTCGACGTTCGTTACAGTGTCATTCCTGGTTGCCAATGCAACTTACGTGTTTGCACGTATTACGACTATCGCGCTTACGTGTATAGTGTTCCTGTATGGTTTGAGGAAACAGGAGTTTAAACTTGACTATGTTACCGGCAACTTTAATACTCCTGTTGTACAATTCTCCGCAGCGGTTATTATCTCGCTCTTCCAAGGCTACCTTCTATATTTCTTTATTACGAAGCAAATCAAGCGTGCACGCGAGAACGCCGCGCCTGTTGTCATGAAGACGAAGCCGAAGCAGAAGCCGAAGAAACGAGAAGGTGAAAATCCGTAAAGTTCTTCATTTATTTTATTATATATTTTGCTATTATTGATTTTATTTCTATTATTTATGTCAGGATTTATTTCATTGAAGTAAAATGCATGCGTATTGTATCTTTGTAGGCAAGAAATCGGCCTTGTCCGAAGACGACGATCTCCCAGAAGTTGATCAGGCGACGAAGAAGAATCTGAGAAATCGTCCTTCAGCCAAAGCAAAATAGACGCTCAATAAATTAGAGAAATCATCCTTATAAGGCTGATTGGATGTTCGATTTTATTCGCCTGTATGTCATGAACACGTCAGAATGTTCGATTAAGGCTGCGGTCTATTTGCTTCTTCTAAATGCTTTAAACGCTATGCTCCAAACGCTATGTTTGGATTACTAATACATTACTGTTCCGCATGCTATAGCAATCGCTATGTAATTTCCCACTAAATATGTCGAAATGCTCCAGTCAACTGAAACCATCTTCCGAGGGCGTGTTCAGATACTCACCTGAGTACTCTCTAAGTATCATGTAATCCTTGTTTAATATTTAGTGGACAATAAGGATAAAATGATACTTGAGTGGTACTCGATTGGAAATTTGAACATAGCTCGAGATGAAACAATTGGTGCGAAAGTAGGAGCGAAAACGATGCGACGTATTAATGATGTAATAAGAATTACTGGAAATATCAGGTGATTCAAGATGATCCAGCTATATTGATGTTTGCGTACGCATTGTTTTGTGTGCTTTCAAAGTATATGCTATGTAAGATTTGAAGCGCCAAGACCGCAGTCTAAGATGTACAAAAATGTATTCTTCTTAATGTAAAAATACGAAGCTTCCATAATGTTACCGATTAAGAATCGCGACAGCAGAATGATTCGAATGAAGTATTCGATACTTAATTTTGTATTTAACAGAAATGAAAATCGGATTTAAAATATTTTATGAAAGAGATAGACATAATTTTGGGCAGAGATAGGCACCCTGCGCCATTGGATGTGTTTTTAACTACAAATCTCAATTTTTTAAATCATTTTATCGCATTCATATAAATTGTACATCTAAATATTGTATTCATATAGAATCGCAGAATATTAATTGCGCATTTTGGTACGTTGTCCTTTTATGCACGTCGTGTACATTTTCTAGAGAAATTTATACAATTTATCACTGTTTACTGTTATTTAAAATTCTAAGAATTTTTTTCGCGCACTGACTTCTTTCGATGAATTTTTAAAGTTAGTTAGAATAGGACCATTTAGTTTTCCAAATCTTCAATCTTTTCTTCTCCACTGTCTTACTGATTCAGATAGAGAAGAGATTGAAAAGAAATTGAGTTCCAGAACCAGACGATAAGCTTGCATCGCGGTTTTGTTTATTGTTTTGAATTGTCCTTGGAATAAAATATTCGAGTAGATTAGAGACAAACGCATTGTGCTAGCATTAAGTTACAAGGCAAAAAAGTATATAGGCATAATGTGCACGAAATAATACTCTGGACCATAAATGTGTTATAAGAATCATGTCACGTAAAAATATACATATCTTATGCAATTACAATATTGTTATACTTATATATAAGTTTTACTATTTTTTAATACATATATTTATATCGAAAGTGAATCTATATGGAAAGTGATAATTTCGTTATTACATTATTGCTTTGCGAATAATTAAATTTCTTTAAAATCGCTATTCTAAAGAAAATGAATCGTAGATTAAAGGAAAAAACAAATAAAGTTTTAAGAGATCATTTTTATAGGTGTTTTCACTGTTCTGCGACTTTATACTGTCGAATTTCTAATCTTAATTCTATGCTTAGTCGTACAATCAATTGTCAATTTTTTATTTGCATTTATGATTTATTTTTTCCAGAGATGTAATGATTGTTTAAAAATTTATTGGCTATCTTGTTAAATAATAATTGTATTGAATAAGATTCATATTGTATTTCTTTTTATGTACTTGTTAGTCTTTATAGTCTTTTATTAAGTGATTTATGCAAAAGTGGTCACCATGTCTCTGACACTAAATTTAACTGATGTGGACGAAAAAGAAGAATCGTGGTTTTTTAAAATATGTGTTGTCACGTGTGTCGTAAATAAAAAATATATAAATTAAAGATATCCAATTTTATGTGTACATCTATTTTTAAAGAATAGTAACTTTGTCGTTAATATTTTTATGCAACGATATAAAAAAAGAAAAAATACTGCATACAATTTTTTTTAAATTGAACATTTAACAATTTTAATAGATATCTCAGTTCTAAAATTTTATAGTTTTTTTTTTTAAATCGAGTTTGATGGACAGGAAGGAACCTGGTCTATCGACTCAGAATGATGATCGGCGGATGATACTCCCGATAGTTCCGATTGCGGGCGCTGATGTAGTCGGTCAAGCGCAGTGCAAATGGTGTGCGGTGCAAATCAGTGTAAATCCAGCAATTTATCTAGCTGTCGTTTACGTTGGCCGTCGTAGCCGTCAGAGTCAGTGGTCGCAGGAAGATGGGAAAATGTATTTGAAACGTACATCGAAGCTGCTGGATCTCACAGTGTCGCGTACTACCGCGGATGTGCATCTACGCGATTTGACGTGCCCGATATGTCGCGGCATTCTGATCGAACCAGTGACGCTGCCGTGCACACATAACCTCTGCCTACGCTGCCTGCAGGGTACATTCGAGCACAACAGCCTGACCTGCCCGCTTTGCCGGGTCCGGGTGGGTTCCTGGCTGCGCACCGCCACCAAGTCCGAGACTTTGGTGAACCACGGCCTCTGGCAGCTGATTAGGTCCAAGTTCCCGAAGGAGGTCGAGAACAAGCACAATGGCGAGGAGGGGGATCTTAGCTTGGACGCTGGTGAGTGACGTATATATATATATATATATATGCATCACACACACGCACGTATCTGCGCGCGCGCGCACATACATACGCATACACTCATGCGTATTAGCAATAAACAAATGTAACATAACCTAAGTGATGTGTGTTTACTTATTTTATTGAATGACATTTCACATGCTTCTTATAGATGCTCCTATGGCTTATGTAATTTTGATGCTGTAGTCGTTTCTTCATTTCACAGCATCACCGTCTCTTCTTCAAAGATTTTTAGTTTAACTTCTAAGTGGGGTGGCCACCCTAGGTATAGTTTTCTTAAAAACTTTGTTGTAGAAAAGGAAAGTAGAAAATATGGCTTAGATGCCTAGAAATCTTAAATTTCATCATGTTTACGTTCTTCTCTCTCATAAGGGAATAACTAATGTAAATTTAATTATAACATGATATACTGGTAAAGGAATATAACTATAAATTTGAAGATTTTTTTTTTGGTGTATTCCAAGCAACTTGGAATACACCCCTACCTATCAACTTGGGTATCTTTAAACCATCTATCTACTTATAGGTTAATACTAGCGTTAGTAGCTGTGATTATTTCTTAGCTGTTAAATTTTCCAAGTAGCAAGTAATATCAAATGATGTCTTAATATTGTCTTGACGGCATCTTTAACATCAATAAAAAGTTATTAAAACGTTATCTTGTTTAAATTATTGATATAAAATGATTGTAATTGAAGAATGCATAGTATTCAATATGCAAAATAGGAGTACTTTGTGTATTGGACATGATAATTGTGTCACAAAATACTACAGAAAAGTATTCTTCTTTTGGACAGATTATGCAGCAAATAGAATACTCAGTGCAGCTGGAGAGATACACCGGGAATACAAGGTTCAACTTCAAATGGCCCAGGAAGAGATGCGTCGTGAGAGGCAAGCTGAACAAATGGCCAGTGAAGCATTGATTCAGAAGATTCAGGCGGAGGATCAGCTGCTGTTGGCACAGTTGGCGCAGGATCAATTGCTAGCCAAGAGCCTGGCAAAGCAGCAACAGAAGGAAGCTACAAAGTGTTATAACGAATGCTTGACTACATCAGTGCCGAGTTATGTTTTTAACGAATCCAAGTTTAATTATACAGCTATACGTGTAAATAATACCGAAGCGCCACGAACCGAAACTGCATGCTTAGAAGGCAGGCACATGGGTCTTCCTGAGTCTGTCAAGGACAACTCAAAAACGAGACAAATGAATGCATTGTTATCCAAGATGGGAATGTATTCCAACGTATGCGGCTCTAAGGAGATAAACGTGTCCAGCACGCATAAAAATCCGCCTACATATTGTTGCCAGAAACAATTACCCGTTTATAACGCCGTTGCGAAGAAGCATCAAACAGTATCAAAGTTTACCCAACCTAGTACTTCAAATTATTCCACTGATCCTGGATGCTCCACGTCCAAGGCTTACACGATAGAGACTAAGGAAGAGTTACGAGTACCGAGCGATGTAGTGAACAACAAGAAGAAGAGTCTCGGGGTAGAGGTGTGCATGACGCTGGCCGACGATGACGAGAGGATAGGTAGCGCCGAAAGTTCTGGCAGTCACGACAGTATAAATCAAGAAATTCATCATTTCAAACCGATTAAGACAGCGCCAAGGACGAAATTGCAAATTTCTTCAGGTATATATTTATCAGAAAGAAAGAGAGAAGGAGATAATATATATATTTGATGATATGATTGTAAAAGAAATCTAATATTTATGTTGTGTGTATCTGTTCTCAGATGGAAAACAGATAGATCCGAAGTTGATTAGGGTAATCCCTATCTTAAAGAAAGTGTCTAACGCAGAGCCGACAGCTCCATCGTTGACACACATGAAACGTATCGGATGCTCTTGGAGCGCCTTCAGAGGTAAATTTTGGATGTTTGCATGCAAATTTTCTGTCTCGCTTTCGTTAAGCTTCAAATATATATCTGTTTTATGTTAAGTACAAGTACATAATTTAGCCAACAGTTTAGTCTGTTAAAGAACAGACCTGTTATAGATATGTTATGTATGATCAATTAAATTCTTAATTAAAACTGTAATTAAAAAATGTCTAGTTTTTTTATTTAATTATAAGATGTTGTTACAGGTAAAATAAAACAGGACGCAAAGGAGAAACACGCAGCGCACAATTTGAAGGATAATACGTCGGGGGCATCGATTGATCAGAAACCATCGACGTCATTCGTTCATTCCCAAACGATTTCGAATAAGTCGATGATAAAGCCTCAGACAAATGATGCTATCCGTCGACTTGATTTTATACCAGAATCGTCGTTTGATAGCAATAAAAATTATACAAAGAATGCAAATAAAATAATTAATGGTACTAAGGTGAGCAAGAAGTCGGATGATGAGGAATGGGACGCGAGGAAAACACGCAAGTCCTGGAGACCGATCATGCAAAATGGTATGGTAGCGAAATCTAATCGGTATAAAAATTTGCGGAGCAATAGGAAAGAAAACAGACTTACTGTGAATGTAATAGACAAAGAGGAGGACGATCCATCGAGCTCCAATCCATCATTCAATAAAACAAGCCTACAAGACGACGAGCGAAATGGCGATGATAACGTAGCCGTCGAAAATATAGCTGAACGAATTAAAAGGAGAAAAGAAAACGCGGACATAAAGATGTCGGAGCCAGAAATGGAATCTACTGCGTCTAAAAGAAGCAGAACAGCAACGAAGAAGAAAGCCTTACCTGAGAGGATAGACGAGGACCAAGCTATGTTCTCGACGTCTCAAGATAGTACGGAGGCCGACGAAAATTTCACAGGGAGGACGAAACGGCGAAAAATGAGCAAAAGAAAGTCCGCGCGTAACTCAACAAGGACCTCCTCCACGGCAGGTGAATCGGACGGTGTGTGCAACAAGAGTAACAGCAAGTTCAATTACGACTCGCCGCCGGAATCTTGCGACGAGATGGAATGCGTCTCGGATAGCGAACGTCCCATGGACAAGCTCTCGGATGAGGAACTGATCGAGGAGCAGCAGCGAATCGAGCGAATGCTGTTGCAAGAGCAGGCGGATTTCGAGCTGGCGCGTCGCTTGCAGGCCGAGTACGACGAGATGGAGCAAATAGCCGGGCGTACCCGACGCTCGAGAAGGGCCATCGAGAGTGAGAGAAGCGTCAACGTGAACGCGCGTGAGATCAACGCGGCGAGGACTGTCCGTAGGACGAGCGGTGCGCGCAAGGCGGTGAAACGAAATCCGGTTGTCAGTACTGCGACTAAGGGAAAACGTGGCAGGCCAAAACGCATAAAAATTACGGTTGACGCACGCGAAGACGAGACTCGCACGCGATAATCATGTCGTGGCGCGTGAGAACCCTCCACAATTGGATGTTCCTATAAGCCATACGTTTGACGAAAGAAGATTCGAAAGAAACGCCGCAACTTTTGTATAGTGTCTTGTGTATTTTTTAACAAATCATTTGCGTCGTATCGAATATGTACCTGGATACATTGCGAGAGTATGTACGGAAGCGGTTTGGATCTTCAGATTATCGTAACATCGTTTTCACACGATGGAACGTCTACGTGCCGTTTTTGTTCCTAATACATCGATCGTGTGCGTTTGTTTAAAATAACCACGAGAAACGCGGCTTGTGCTCACGTACAGCGTGCCCTCTGAAATGCCCGGCCTAAATTTTAACAAA